TTTAGGTTTTTAGTGTTTAGGGTTTACTAGGGTTTAGGGTTTAGGGTTTGGGGGTTTAGGGGTTTAGGGGTTTAGTGGTTTAGGGTTTATTAGGGTTTAGGGTTTAGGGTTTAGGGTTTAGGGGTTCAGGGTTTAGTGTTTACTGGGGTTTAGGGTTTAGGATTTAGGGGTTTAGGGGTTAGGGTTTAGGGTTTATTAGGGTTTAGGGTTTAGTGTTTACTAGGGTTTAGGGTTTAGGATTTAGGGGTTGAGGGGTTTAGGGGTTTAGGGTTTAGGGTTTATTAGGGTTTAGGGTCTAGGGTTTAGGGTTTAGGGGTTTAGGGTTCAGGGTTTGAGGGTTTAGGGTTTGGGGGTTTAGCCTAGGGGCTCTGCAGCGTGGTTTCAGGTTCTCGAGGTTTTGTGGGCTCAAGCTTGGGGGCCTACTTAAACCTGGCTTGCATCTGCCGGGAATTTTTGGCAACGCTTCAGGGACGAAGGCTTGCGACATTGGGTGTTGCAAGCTTGAGCTCCACCGTACTTCGCCATTCCCCAGAGAATGAAGGCTTTGGGTTTGAGACATATCTTGTATGTCATGAGACAGGTAGCATTGGCAGACCTTGTTGCGACTAGCTTCTGGTCAGTTGCTATACTTAAGACAACGCGACTACAGCTTCACTGCAGCTTCACTGCAATGCACGGTTTCGGCAGCTGTCAGGCACAGATGTCTGAATATACGGGTCGGACCTCTTATATAAACCCATGTTGCAACTTCCTGGGATTCGCTGTAAGTTCCTGTGGCTTGAAGAGCTTGAAGACGTGCCTAGGTCCCGTAATCAAGGAAGTGCAGGGTCGAGGCGTTCAGGGTTTGGGGAGCCCTTATTTATGGGTTTAGGGTTTAGGGTTTAGGGTTTAGGGAGCCCTTCTTTATGGGCAGTTTCATTTGTTTTTGCTTGAAGTTGCTGTGGATGAGGACAAGACTCTGCAGCCCCTTGCTTAGGATGGTGCTGCTGTCCGCACAAAAAACGGGAGGTTCTTGTTTTCATCACCCCTAAACCCTGAACCCTAAACCCTAAACCCTAACATCTCTACTTAGTTAGCCAATAGGAGAAC